AATATGTTTTCATATTTATTTATAAAGATTAAAGCTTCAAAACTAATGTAGATCGAGAGATCTATGAAAACTTAAAAATCTTGAAATTTGACGGTCCAAAAGTGCGTTATAAAATACACTATTTTCAAAACTTGAAATCTATTTTTTTATCATGTCCATGCATCTTGATATCGAGACAATGAATTTGAGGATATTTGGGCATCAAAACAATATTTTTTAGTGAAATTTTTGAGGTAGGCTCGAATTTGATTGTTTAGAGCCTCGGCTCTATATAAACTTTTCCTATAATAAAAAAGAAAAGTGTATATGGAGCCGGCAGGTTTAAACTCTAAGTTGCAAGGTAAACAACGTAGGCCACAAAGGATGCTTACGAGAGTTCTCTGTCTGTATCGTTTGACACGACAGGTTTAAACTTTGATTCTTACCTGTAAACAACTCACTCTCTCTCTCTGTATATTGATCATCATCTATAAAATATATAACCTCCAATGAATGGTAGGAATAGGAATGAAAAAAAAATCCATGAACACCTATCCTACACTAAGCAAACCTGTAAACAACTCACTCTCTCTCTCTGTATATTGATCATCATCTATAAAATATATAACCTCCAATGAACGGTAGGAATGAATGGTAGGAATAGGAATGAAAAATAAATCCATGAACACCTATCCTACACTAAGCAAAATACAGGATACTGCACCTACCTTCCTATAACTATTGATTATAGTAACCCTGTAGATAGTAGACTGACAATATACACTTTCCTCAATACAACACAAGGAATATCCAATAATATACACTTTCCTCAACACAACACAAGGAATATCCAATGATATACACTTTCCTCAACACAACACAAGGAATGTCCAATTTTGAAAGGGTTAGATCTAGGGGTTGAACTTAAAATTCACTTCTTTTTTTTTTGGTTGCTTGAAAATAATCATTAATTGGATCCCGTAAATTCAAATAGAAGAAATCCTCCAAAATATCTATTTTATCAAAGGGAGTTAATCTCCCACAAGAGCATGCTCATATCTCATTTTCCAAGGTTGCATGACTACATTGGTCAGCGTCATAGACAGTAAGGGAATGACAATAAATATCGGCAAACCAAAACATCGGTAAGAAATTCGTTTTATTTCAAAATGTTGACGGAAAATGTAGTTAAAGAATATGAATCGCTAATATATAAGGGAAGTAATAGAATCATGAATTTTTTGGATTTGGCTCACAAAATGAAGTGAAAAAATCGGACACATAAAGATAATACAATATGGGCTTATGATTTGTAGTTATTTTATAGATAATTTAAAGCCATTGAACAATAGTTTGATGGCCTTGCCTAGTGTCATTAGAGTAATACTTGACAATTTTTTGTCTAAATTTTCAATAAATCCAAAAACAATGCTTATTTTGTTATCATAATGCAAAACCTATCATAGATTTATTGAGAGCATAAAATGAAACAACAACAACAATACTAAACCCCAAGTAACTAAACAAAAGACATCCAAATGACATTAGAAAAGTAGTGAAAATTGATTTTTAAAATTCAATTTGTGCCATAGAGTATTATAGAAATAATCCAAAAAAAAAGAAAAAATATGAAAATAAGTATTTATGGACAAAATACTTTTAAAACGTTAAAATAAGTATTTATAGACAAAATACGTTTTCTTTTTCCTTTTTTTTTAAGGTCTAGGCTTAACCACTCTAACCAACCACGGGGAGGCGAGTGGCCAGGTAACACGGTCGGATCTGGCTAGGGTCGACCCGGCCGGTTTTGTGTTTCACTCTTTTTCTTTCCCAAATCTTCCGCATTCTAGGCGTCATTGTTGACTCGGCACTTCCAAGTCTTGACGGCAAGTCCTGCCCACGAGCCCTTGGTCCTTTAACGTTGTACCAGGAGAAATGTAGAGACGACATACATTGAAATACCTTATTCTAAGGCCTGCAAACTTGGATATACAATGAAACGAATGGTGTAACCTCAGGAGCCATGCTTGATACTGGTAAACTCTGTGCCCCCTACCTTATGGCAATGTTTTGACGACCCCACTGATACTTTATTAACAGGCCAAACATTTGGCCAAGAAAAATATTTGTATTCAAATCGCTTCGCTTGGAGGGAGATTATAGAACTGGTAGATTCATCTTAGTCGTGCAAACTGATGGCAATCTTGTGTTCTACGGAAATTTATAAATCCTAATCCTGCATATTATGAGACCAAAACAGATGGAGCATCATCCCCGGTTCGTTTGGTGTTCGATCACTCAAAACGCTCTTTATCTCACAAACTCAAGCGATATGGTAATCGCAAATGTTTCTTCAATTGCAACTAAACTCACCTGAGGATTTCTATCAAAGGGCCACAATTGATGGTGATGGTTTTGTCCGGCGATATTCTCGCCCAAGAAATTCGAACAACGGAGAATGGTAAACCGGTGCTTTACCATAAATCGTATGGAGGCTTTCCACTATGGATGGGTGAGGGTTTCAAAACCGGACAATCTGGATCCAGAATTATAGATTTTAGATCGGGAATTGAGAAACTAAGAGCACCGGCTTGCCCCACGCTAAAACGGCCTTTTTTTTTTTTTGAATGATATACATACGGAGCCTAATATTATAGGTAAAACACGAAATGCTTCATCTATAAGCGGAAATTATAATATGTTTTTTAAAATTGCCCTCGATCAACTTGAATTTTGATTTTATTTTTATTTTTATTTTTTTAGTTACTTCATTTGTAAGGTAGTGCCTTAAAGCTTGGGGTAATGCCCTACGAACAAAAAAGTAAAAATAAGAAAAATATATAAATCAAGATTCAACCTAGAAGTAATTTTAGAAAAAAAAAAGGTTGACTGGTATTTTTTGAGATTGCCACCAATAAGAGAATTATTTTGTATTTTACCTAAAATTTTAAAATTCGTAAATAAATTACTTTTTTTTAAACAAAAACTTATCTAATATTTTTTAATTGTCCCTTAAATTCTTTCATAAAACTTAAGTTTAATTTATTTTTATTTTTAATTTTTTTTAATACTTTCTAGATCAACAATTCAAACTGATGCGAAACAATCTAACTGTCCATGAATCTGTGTAGTTCACAAATCCGCGCCAGTCAGCATCATGCTTTGCGTTTAAGAAGGGCTTTCCTTAGCTGCCGAGTAAAAGTCATGAAGTAATGCATTACTCGTTTTGGCAGTACCGGTCCTTGAGAAGAAGTAGTGTCATTGACAAGGTAAACAAGAAGGGAAAGCTTTCTATGATTCCCATTCAGCATAAAACCTATATGTTTTTTCATATCCAACCGTTCTGAACGGACAGCTGAGATGAACCCAAGCTGAGATGAACCCAATCACAATGTCATATCTCTATATTATTTTATTTTTAATTATTTTTACAAACTATTTTAACACCAAATTTTGGACGACCACTCTTTGTTTTAAAAAACTCTCGAAAAATGTGAATAGATTTGTCGGTTTTTCTCTCGAAAACTCTCTCTCTCTCTCTACAAGTATGAATAAATAGAAAAAGTTTTGACAAAACTGCAGCCTTATCAAAATAAGCTAGGAAAAATTTTATATAAGGTTGATGTTGTAGAATTTAGATGCACCTCATAAATCTATCCAAAAAGATTGTTTTAATATTGGAAAACCATATGAATGCACATCTCGATGTCAAGATGTATGGGTATGAGAAGAAATAAAAAGATTTTCAATCCACATAACATAGTACACCATACAACACATTATTTAGATCATCTATTTCCAAAATTTTCATGCATTTATACATTTACTTGACTTGAACTATTTTTAGAATTTAAAGTTTAATAATTAAAAATATAAATAGATTCCCGAGCCATCCTAAGAATTTTTTACCCCAAAATTACATCTTATAACAAAGTTTGGAGTGGCTCCTTATTTTGATTATTTAAGGATGCAACCTCATGCAAACTGCACCCAAGAAGAAAAGTCTCACCGAAAATTATAGTTTTAGCATTGAAAAACATTCAAATCGATCATCTCGTCCTTGATCATCATGGTTGTGAAAACAAAAAGGATCTCAAGCCCAAAAAATAGTATATTTTGTAATATGTTATCTAGACCATCCATTTCACCTTTAAAATAAGTATTTATAAATCTGCAAGATTCATACCATTATTTAGCTTAAAATTTCACAGTCAATGTTGGAAATTAGTTTGAGAGCCATTATGGAGATTTCCAATGCTCAAAGTGCTTTCCGAATGAAGATTCAAGGTGAGGCTTAAATTTAATTTCATAAGCCAAGGCTTTATAGAAACTCGACTCATAATAAATTTGTTGGCTTTACATTAAAATAAATAAATAAATAGATTTGTTGGTTTCTCATTCAAATGGGTTTGTGAGTTTCTCTATGTCTCAAAAAAAACATGACCCGAGAACGGAACCTGGCCATGGTACACGTCTAGGTAACTGGCCCAAACCGGGCAGGTCCAGGCTTGACTAAGAAGGGTTAGAAAAAAAAACACTAAAAAATTCCAGAAAGTATGTTCAAAGTGTTAAAAAACAAAATGCATCCAAATATGTTTATAGTATAACGAAACAAAATCCATCCAAATGAGATTAAAAAAGCAATTAAAAATTGATTTTGGAAATTCAATTTGTGCCAGGGGATATTTTAGAAATAATCTTCAAAAACAAAAAGAAACTCTAAAAATAAGTATTTACAGACAAAATACTTCAAAATCTTTTTCAAAACAAGAGAAAACATTAAAAAATTTACTACAAACAAATTTCTTATATTTTTAGAGTTTTTACATTTTTTTTAATTTTATTTTTAAGCTCCTAACCTTGACCACCCTAACAAGCTAAAACCGACCAGGACCGGTGGCCAGTTGCGGGTCACCAGGCCGAGTTTGGGTCCACTGGCCCGGTTCCTAAGACTGGTTTCTCTTTCTCTCTTTCTGAGTCTACGTTGATTGGGGAATTGCAAGTCTTGACGGCATAGTGGAAGCGCGTTATCGTCAGGAAACTTGTGGCCACGAGCTCTTGGTCCATTTATGCTGTACCAGCTTGACCAATTGGTAAATGTATGATACACACTCAAACAAACCATTCTAAGTGCCTTTTCGCTCACTCTAATATGGCGCCTGCGCCCCTTCTCACGCTCATCTTCTTTCTCTATCTTCCTCTTCTTTCGCTTCATCATGCATTTGCACAATCGAACACAAACATCACCCAAGGGACCACCCTTTCCTCTTCCTCTGCAAATAACTCATATCGGACCTCTCCTTCTGGTGATTTTGCATTTGGGTTTTATTCAATAGAAGGCAACCAATTCCTAGTTGGAATTTGGTTCCATAAGATACCGGAGAGAACCCTGGTTTGGTCAGCAAATAGAGATCAACCTGTGCAATCTGGCTCCACCATTCAGTTGACACTTGATGGGAGGCTAGGCTTCACAGATTCAAAGGGCCTGGAAACTTGGATATACAATCAAACGACTGGTGTGAGCTCAGGAGCCATGCTTGATACTGGTAATTTCATATTGGTAGACTCTGTATCCTCTATTTTATGGCAAAGTTTTGAGAACCCCACTGATACTTTATTACCAGGCCAAACCTTTGGCCAAGAAAAATACTTGTATTCGAATCGCTTGGAGGGAGATTATAGAACTGGTAGATTCATGTTAGTCATGCAAGTTGATGGAAATCTTGTGCTCTACCCGAAAGGTCGGAGGGGTCTAGATCCTAATGGAGCATATTATGCGTCCAGAACAGATGGAGCATCATCACCAGTTCGTTTGGTGTTCGATCGCTCGGGTGTTCTTCATCTCACAAACTCAAGCGATCAGGTAATCGCCAATGTTTCTTCAAATGCACTGAACTCTGAGGATTTTTATCTAAGGGCCACAATTGATAGTGATGGTTTTTTCCGGCTATACTCTCGCCGAAGAAATTCGAACAACGGAGAATCATGGATAGTTGTATCAAAGATTCCTAATGACAGAGATGCTTGTGGAGTATCAGGTGCTTGTGGCCCCAATGCTTATTGTGTTCTGCAGCAAGATAAGGCGGGGTGTCTTTGCCCACAAAATTTTTCCTTCATTGATGCTAAATACGCTTTTGATGGGTGTAAACAGGATTTCAATAGAGGGTGCTCTGCTTACTTAGCATCGGATTATACATGGGCTGAGTATGAGAACGTTGATTGGCCTACAGGGGATTACGAAAGACTAGATGTCAATGAAGATAAATGTAAGGAGGTTTGCATGAATGATTGTTTGTGTGATCTGGCCATTACTAGAAACAATGATTGTTGGAAGAAGAGGATGCCAGTCACTGAAGGCCGAAAGAGAAGCAGCATAGCAGGAAAGGCTCTTTTCAAGGTTCCACTGAAGAGTGGGCCATTGGAGAGAACAAAGACAATAGAGACAATAAAGAAAGAGGATGGAAACAAAACCATGGTCCTAGTAAGTTGGTGTCTCATGAGCTTCTCTGCAATTCTTTTCATACTATCCATGGCTGCAATTGCTTTTGCTTTCAAGAAAGGAAGCAGGTCCCGTTTCATCTCAAACAATGTAGAGAGTATAGAGGCCAACCTTGTATCATTCAAATATGCACAATTACAAGAAGCCACAAATGGATTCAAGGAGCTTCTAGGGAATGGCGCCTATGGGAGTGTCTACAAGGGCATCATGGATGTTGGGCGTGAGGTCCAAATCGCTGTAAAGAGACTGGACAAGGTGGTGGAGAGAGGGGAGAAGGAGTTTCGAACTGAACTACATGTAATCGGTCGAACCCATCATAAAAACTTAGTTCGCTTACTAGGTTTCTGCGACGAGGGTGATCAAAGGCTTCTGATCTATGAGTTCATGCCAAATGGGTCTCTTGCAGATTTCCTGTTTGGCCCAACCAAACCAAGTTGGAGCGAGAGGATCCAATTAGCATTTGGGATAGCAAGAGGGATCACTTATCTTCATGAAGAGTGTGAAACCCCTATCATACATTGTGATATAAAGCCTCAAAACATACTTCTTGACGAGTTTCGCACCCCAAAGATTTCCGATTTTGGTCTGGCAAAGCTGTTACAACACAATCAGACCCATACAACCACCGGCATTAGGGGGACAAGGGGGTATGTGGCTCCGGAGTGGTTTCGAAATGTTTCAATATCTACAAAAGTGGATGTTTATAGCTTTGGAGTCGTGTTGCTTGACATCATTTGCTGCATGAAGAAGAGCGATCATCATGATCATAACTTGGAGGTGCAATTTGTGTTATCAGAATGGGTATATGATTGTTTCTTTGAGGGGAAGGTGCATGAGCTAGTAGAGGGAGATGACGCGGCCCTGGGTGATTTAGAACAAGTTGAAAGGATGGTTAAGGTGGGATTGTGGTGCATCCAAGAAGACCCATCCATGAGACCTTCCATGAAGAAGGTGGTTCAGATGCTAGAAGGGACCATAGAAGTTCTGGCACCACCTGATTCCTCTACCTCATGGTTATGAACAAAACCACCTATCAAATGAAATGTCACACTCAATTTTCGCTTTTCCTGGTCATGACTTTGGCATTTAATAGTCTGCCACTACCACTCTTCTTTTTACCATTTCCTAATCCTTTAATCGCTTACCATTATTAGTTGATGTGCTTTTATTCTACAGTAATGTGTTTAAAATGAATTTTTAGATTTGGTACTCCTTTGTTGTATATATTGGTGTGAAGGTAATTTTGGTACTCATTTGTTGTATAAATTGGTGCAATGCCTATGTCTACAATTAATATTCCATCTCTTCAATATTTATTTATTTTTTAACGTTTCCACCTCTTAAATTCTTCTTTATTTTCTTCCTACTTTTTTCTGGCTAGGTTTATCCAGATAATTGAAAGGATGGCTGGCAAAAAAATTTATTTGAGTCAAAATACAGTTGATTTAGGTTGTCAAATTTAGGAAAATTTATAGAAAGAAATAATGGCCTAGAAAAATTTTCCTTTAAGAAAAATTTTCCAAACACCTCATGGTAACCTCTCACCTCTATGAAATCCAATCCAAACATATCCTTTCTCTCCTCATTTATATACCTCAAACTTCTCTCTTTCTCTTTCTTTCTGCGTTTCTCACTCTCTCTCCTCCCGTATTTACCCGAACCCCTCTCTCTCTCGCTCCTGGTAACCTCTCACCTCTGTGAAATCTATGAATCCATGAAAGTCCTTTGCATAACACTAATTCAAACAAGAACATCTGTTTTAGAAAATATCTCCATAATTCCTCTCTACACAAATCAAGGTCAAAGTAGCCCAAATCCCCAATAAAATATTTTCCGTCTTTTATAATTTCTCTCTCCAAACCTTTTTGTCAACCAACACCATCAAGAACCCCATTCTTTCTCTAGCAAAATAATGGCAAAAAATGGCCAAAAAATGACAAAAATGAGCCAAAACTAGGCATTGGAGTACAAAGATTTGCTTCCTATCGTGGCCGGAAAGCTAGAAGCCGATGCTTTCAAGGCAGAGCTCAAAGGATTCAAGCTATTGGCTGACCCATCAAAGGGTTTGATAACATTTGAGAGCAAAATTCTGCTCTAAAGGATGGTGATGGAGCTTTGAATGAGTAAGAGTTTTGTGTTTGAATGGTGAGATTAAGCACTGATCTCATGTGAGAGACTCAAAGTTTGTTAGAAGAACCTCTGATCCATAAGATTCGGAGTTATGGAGAGTTGATCAAGTTTATGCTGGAGTAGCTTTCTCTACGCTCTCTTGTTTCTCTGTTTATCTGATGTTCTCTTTCTCTTTGTAAATTGTGTATTTGGGAGGAGAGAGTGAAGAGGGAGATAGGAAACACGAAGAGAGAGTGGGAGGATAGAGTGAGGGTAGAGAGATGGGAAAGACGGAAAAAGAGAGAGAAGGGGTGCTGGGAGAGAGAGAAAGAGAGAAGTTTGGGAGGATGGCTTTTAGAAAAGGCATATCTTTTTAAATTTGTTTGGCCTAAGAAAAACAAGGTACAGTTTGTATAGAAACTAAGCTCTAAACAATCAAATTAGAGCCTGCCTTCAAATAGTATCGAGAAATGTGGTTTCAACAAAGGAAATCTTTGTGATAGCCTTAAAATATATTTTTTAATTTATTTATAAAGTGTAAAGCTTCAGAAATAGTATAGACCGACAAACCTATGAAAATCTCGAAAATTGAAAATAAAAAAATGCATTACAAAATACACTATTTTCAAAACTACAAATCTATTTTTTTTCTCATTCATGGCCATGCATCTTGATGTCGAGATGATCAATTTGAGGATATTTGGGCATCAAAACAATCTCTTCTAATGAAAGTTTTGAGGTAGGTTCTAATTTGATTATTTAAAGCCTCGGCTCTATATAATCTTTTTCGAAAAAAAAAAAAAAAGAGGTTAAAATTAGTTTAGGTGGTAAGAATAAATAAAATCCACATTGTTTATGCATTAAGATATCTTTTAAAACATTGAGTCTATTGTGAAATGAAATATAAAAATAAGAAGTATAGAGATATTTTTTAAAAAATATAATTAAGCAAAATACATCCAATGAGATTAAAAAAATAGTGAAATATGGATTTTGAAAAATAAATTTGTGCCCAGGGTATTTTCAAAATAATTTGTGAAATGAAAAAAAGAAGTTTATGACAAAAATACTTCCCAAACTTTTTCAAAAGAATAGAAAACATTAAAAAAAAAAAAAAAAAAACTAATTACAAATAAATTTCTATGTTTATGAATTTTTTAATTTTTTTTTAAAGTTGATGGCTTGACCACTCTAACCGGACCCTCGTCAATTTACTGCACACCTCCTAGTGTTGTTGGAAGCGCGTTATCCTGATTAAAAAAGTGGCAACTGCAGCCGGCATCATTGAGTCGACGTTGTACGACCAGAAATGAATTGAAACATTGGTGTAGAATACACACTCAAATAACCCGTTCATTGCTCACTTCATTCAATATGGCACCTCTTCTGGCTTCCCCTCCCCTTGTAGTTTCTCAATCAAACACAAACATCACTCACTCTAGGGGCCACCCTTTTTTCTTCCTCTGCAGATGATTCATATTGGGCTTCTCCTTCTGGTGATTTTGCATTTGGGTTTTATTCAATTGGTGGCAACCAATTCCTAGATGGAGTTTGGTCAGCAAACAGAGATCAACCAGTTGGATCAGGCTCCACCATTCAATTGACACTTGATGGAAGGCTAGCCTTCACAGATTCGAAGGGACTGCAAACCTGGATGTACAATGAATCCAACGGTGTAAGCTCAGGAGCCAAGCTTGATTGAGTATGAGAATGTTGATTGGCCTGCAGGGGATAACGAAAGACTCGATATCGATGAAGGTAAATGTAAGTAGGATTGCATGTTTGTGTGATCACTGGAAACAATGCTTGTTGGAAGAAGAGGATGCCAGTCACTAAAGGCCGAAAGGGGAGCAGCACAGCAGGGAAGGCTCTTGTCAAAGTTCCATTGAAGAGTTGGCCACTGGAGAGAACAAAGACAATAGAGAAACAGGGTAGACTTTAAACCATGGTCCTAGTAAGTTGGTTTCTCATGAGCTACTCTACAATTGTGTTCCTACTATCCGTGTTATCATATAGTGTTTTGGGTGCTCCTGTACTGGCAAAGATATTACAATCCAATTGCAACATCTCCAGCACTTTTTACATGAAACATTCAAACTATGTCAACATTTTTACATGGACTGCACTAGTGCTCTTGTTCATCACCAAATACATTAATAACCAACTTGAATACAATTTAAAATCATTCACAAATATAACAACATTAAGCAGAGTGCCAAATAAGGAAGGGAATGTCAAATTTCAAACCCTTTGTGCCCGGATTTTTTAAAGACTTAATTTTGTCGAATAGATGAGAGCACGTATGGTTTTAATTCTCAAGTGTATCATTCCACTATGGAAATAGTGTAATCAACTTTTTATCACTTTAATATGTTCAAAATGAGAAATAATTGTTGAAGATTAAATATCAAAATAGGTTGAGAGAGATGCAACTCAAAAGACGATGAGCATGCTACTTTCCATGGTGCATGGAACCATAAGGCAATTTCTCAATTGATAAGGCTACCACGAACTTTATATTTTTGAATCTTAAACATGGAAGAAACCTCATTGATCTAATGTTTATATTTACTTATAGGAAAGGTTTCCATAATTCTCCTACAATATAGAAGTTCTATCTTTTCCCTACCATCCAGCTATTCAATTTTGATCAATAGAGCCATTCACCGTTTGATCTTTAGATTCGACGTCCCAAAGTATCTTATTTTTAGTTTTTTTCTATACAAATTGTATGAATATGAAAAATTGGTATGTGCCATCTTCTCACTGGGACGCACCTATAAAAACTATTAAAAATAACTTTTTGATAAAATATAATGACCAAAATACCTCTTGAAACTTTCGGGGGTATTTTGATTATTTTATTTTATTAATATTTGTTTTGTATTTTTCGCGAATACAAGTTTAATAGAGGAATTGACATGGTGTCAAAATAGTTTATACAAAAAAAATTAAAAATAAAAAAGTGTAGAGACGTGACATTGTGATTGGGACAACCTTAGTCCTCCAGTCAGAATGGACGGTTGGATAAGAAGAAGTATAAAGTTTTATGTTGTAGGAGAAGCATAGAAAACTTGCCTTTTACTTATATTATTAGAAAAATCAGGTAATCAAATGCTAGAGAAGATGTTGCCTAGTTGATGGGAGTTCAATCCAGATTACACAAGATCAAGGCAAGATGCATATGGTTCAATTCTATCATGAAATAATACCACGAAAAACAAAGGATAATGACATAAAATTTTTTTTAGAAATTATGATTTACAGCAACCTAAAGATGTGGAAAATGGATCTTTGACGAAATTCAACTTCAATAAAAATATTACCTCAAGTGCAGAATTAACTAGTTGATCTTCATGAACAACCAAACACACCATGGTGTGTGGAGGTCAATTTTGGGTCTCTCTCTTTCTCTTTCTAAGTTCTCAAGTGTAGAATTGAAGTGATATTGGCCCTTGATGCTTTTCATCCATGACACATGAGAGGACATGATCCAGATTACTCATCCCCATCCAACCACCTAGATCAAGGGAGGGATGAGATTATAACTCTCTCATCACCCCATAAACCATAGGTTAGCCTTTTTACTCTTTCGTCCTTGTCTCATAGATAATTTCCACTCGAATCCATTACAAAAATTCCATAAAATCACTATAGCAGCATAAGGCAAGGGTATGCCCTTTTGTTAATTGCAAAAAGCTCACATGTATGAAGAAAATGTCCTATGACACAGCCAATAGAGCTTCCATACCCAACATACGGCTCACGCATATGGGATGAAGCCACATAAGAAAATGTCACATGTAAAAAAAATATCTCATATGGATAAGGCCTTTTATTCAAAATTCTCAAATAACCTTGCATTACATACATGCGAAAACGGTAAATGTGTGATAAAAACCATGTGACAATTTTAATTTAAAATTTTATAAAATCAAATTACAAAATAACACGTGCTACACAGCACACTACTACATATCCCTACGCATTGGGATTGACATTAGCATGATGTCACCCCCAAAGAGGTTCATGGGGCTGCCATGTGGCCTCCTTATAGCAACTTGCAAGCCACGTGACATGCCATGGATGTCTTTGAATGATATTATGTCCAAACAAATTCATTTTTTGTGTTTTAAAAATTTTAAAGATATTTTTCAAATTTTTCAAAAAAATTT